GGAACCCTCGATAAAAAAAACTCCTAAAAAAAAAAAAAAAAAAAAAGAGTTCCTGGGTTCAGGGCAGGGAAGAATGGGAGGGGTTGTTCTCTTCCATATAAGAGCTGGTTGCCTGTGGCAGATCCTAGGTCTTGGGTAAGTATTAATGGCTACTATTGATTTATGTGGTCTGGGTCAAAGTTTATCTCTTCCTGGGGCCTCAGTTTCCCCATTCCTTCCTTCCCCACACCTTCCAGGCTACTGTTCCTTCCTGTGGCCTCCATGGCTGAGGACTGGCTGGACTGCCCAGCCCTGGGCCCTGGCTGGAAGCGCCGTGAGGTCTTTCGCAAGTCAGGGGCCACCTGTGGACGCTCAGACACCTATTACCAGAGGTACTGGGTGGGTTGTGGGCAGCCAGGGTAGGAATAAGCCTGATTAGGGCCAGGGTAAGAGCAGTATGTGGTTAAAAATTTATGGATGGAATTAAAGTCATGCACGTGTAGTCAATCCACAGTTTTTGAGTTTTCCATATTTTAAAGTTTGCCTAATTAATAAAACTTATTTGTAACTCAAAAATCAGTATTCATGTTGCTTTCATGGTTAACACACAGACATGTTCAGTGTTGTGAAAAATTTGAGTGTCCAATGCATGTATTCCTAGCTGAGATCGAACATGACCTTTTTGCTCCAGCATTCATACTATAAATAAGTGTCTTTTTTGTGGTCTATTTAGTGCTATATTTTTCATATTTTTGTGCTTTTTATTGGTGATTTTCCTGTTTAACATGGCCTGCAAGCATACTGCTGAAGTGCTCTCAAGTGTTCTGAGTGGAAAAGGCTATGAGGTTCCTCACAGAGAAAGTACATAGTTAGATAAGCTTCATCCAGGTATGAATTTCAATGCTGTTGCCTGTGAATTCAATGTTATGAATAAAAAACATTGTTTTAACCAGAAAAAGAAGATTAAATATGCTGGTAATGTATGTGACGCCACTCTGAAAAGTTCAAAAAACGTGTAGTACTTGATGAAGCTTTGGAAAAGATAGGAAAGCAGCTAAATTTGTGGATCCATGAAATGATGACCCATGAAACATGATCAACAGCATTATTGTGAGGAAAGGCAAAGTTATATTATCTAACATAAGGAAAATATTAAACTTGTCTCAGTGTTGTCTGGTGTACACATTTCAAAAGGTGATAAATAGTTGAAAAATGTTAAACTTGCATGCATTGCAGGTTGTGTGGATCAGGGGTCTGTGGAATACATTCTGAAACATCTATTTGAAGCAGGGATATTTAGAAGGGTAGGTTTTCAGCACCTGTGTGATTGGTTTGTTTTACAAGAACATTAGCAAACAAACCTCTGTAATACAACTAGCCTCCAAAGTCCCTGGCTTTGAACCATTCAAACATACAGTTATTTGTAAAAAATAAAACAAGGTTGGAACCAGCAGTTAGCATAATGGCTATGTCACTGGACTCCCATGTAGTTGACCGTGGTTCGAGTCCTGGACCCGGTAGCTTAAACTCACACTGGGCGCGTGTGCCATGCCTAAGATCCCAAGAAGAGAATGGAGGAGAAAGGATTGTGGCATGGCCATTCCCCCTGGGGGGTGATTTCTTGCTTTCTGTCTCTTCTCTCTCTGTCTTTCTGGCAAGCGCACTCTCCCTATAGCAAAAACCTCTCAAAAAACAAAACAAAACAAAGTTATGTATCATTTGACAAAAACATGAGTAGAGGCTCACAGGAACCTAAAATAAAGCAGCTTTATAGGATATAATTACCATGAAAAGCTGGACCAACTGTAAATACATAAACATTGATGTTTATAAACATTTACACATACTTTAGGGTATAGTTATCAAACTTTCTACCCCTCCGGATTTTTTTTTTTTTAACCTAAATTGCCATTTTCCTAGTGGAACATACAGTGAAATTACAAGTACAATTTTTGTTTACAATTTTTATAGAACTTCCATAACTTATAAGTGCAGTTGTCAAGGTCTATAAAGGACTTGAGGTTTTACCTAATTAGGAAAAGATAACAAGTGAATTTGTTGCAGTTTGGTAGTTGCTGGTAGAAGAGAAAATCTTGGGTCAGAGATGAAAGACAATTTATTACTCACAACAGTAACAGGATCCAGAATTTGTTACTTTGTGTAAGTTCCCCAAATGATAGTTCCCACAAGGTGACATGAAGAACTAAATAGCATCTTACACATCCAGTGGGGATATACTATATGGAAGGAAACCTTAGCTTAGGGAATCAAATCTTTTGTACTACTGGGACAGTAAATATCCTTTCTTCTGGAAGGAGACCCTATCTATCTAATATTCCAAAATTGTTTGCTTTATAGATATCCTTGAAAAGAAAGTTTATTGCAAAGAAAGTTAGTGCCCCTTTTGTTAGACTTGGAGGAATGCAAGAGACACATAGAGTATTGTGATTTTGTTTTATTTAGTATGAATTGATTTTATTTTATTTTGTACATATTGTAGTTGCATTTATAGTTATGCATAACTTAATGACAGCAACACATACTGAGGCATTTGTTGTTTGGTAATTTTATCATTGTTCAAACATTTGTGCACTTACACAAAACTACATGATATAGCCTGGTTTTTCCATGATTTGTGATTATATGATATAGCCTATTGCTGCTAGACTACAGACCTGTACAGCATGATACTGTACTAAATACTATAAGCAGTTATAACACAGCAGTATTTGTGTATCCAAACATAGTATTTGTGTATCTAAAAATATGGTATAGGCCCACATAGCAGTAACACAACACTCCATGCTGCCCAGGCCACGTGTGAAAGTCCTGGGTTTGTGTCTTCAGGTCCTCCCGTAAACACTGAATGTATGCCCATGATCCTGGCAAGGCTTGGGGTAGATCATAATGTGAAGACTGCTGGGGCTTGCCTTCTTCTCTTTTCCCTTTCTTTCCCCTACATCCCACTGGAGTAATGGAGTGAATGAATGACTAATACAATATAAAAGGTAACAAATGGTATACTGATCAGGGCACTTGCCATGAATGGACCTTGCAAGGATTGGAGGTTTTTCCAGATGAGGCAGTGAGTGATGAGTGAATGTAAAGGCCTAAGGCATTACTGTACATTACTGTAGACTTTATAAACACTGTACACTTTAGCTACACTAGGTTGCAAAAGGTAATATTTTCCTTTATTGACAGATTTATTTTAGCTTACTATAGCTTTTTAAAACTAACTTTTTTTTTTTTTTTTTTTAAGGTTTTTACCATAAGAGTGTATAAGCTTGCTGGAGAGAGACAGAGAAAGAGGGAAAGTGAGAAAGCACACCCTGCCCCTCCAGCGCTCTCCCCTTCTGGAAATGGCCATGCCACAATCCCTCCTCCTCCATTCTCTCGGGATTTGGGGCATGCGCGCACACACACACACACACACCCAGCATACTTTTCAAGCTGTGTCAGTACACAATTTGGGACCCAGCCACTTGCTGGCCCCAAACTGTAACTTTATTAGCTTTGACTCTTATAACAACACTGCTTAAAGCAAATACATTGTACAACTATGCAAAAACACTTGCCTTCTATCATTGTTCTTTGGGCCTTTTTTCTATTTTTAATTTTTTTCTTTTTAAGTTCTTTTTTTAAAAAATTAATAAAGATACACATTAGCCTAGGCCTACAGAGGATCAGGGTTGTCATCATTGTCTTCTGCCTCCACATCTTGCCCCACTGGAAGAACCATGATAAAACTACATGAGGTTAAATTAAACACGAGAAAATTGAGCAATCAAGAGACTTGGAAAACAGATACATGAAGGCTGCTGCCCAACTAACACAGTATGCCATTTTACAGTCAATTTTTAAAAAGGAATATATGCCAAAATAATAACAAAATATAGTAGATATATACAAAAGTAATGTTAGTTTTTATCGTCAAAACACACGTACTAGGGGGACCAGCAGTTAGCGTAACAGCCATGTCGCTGGACTCCCATGTAGTCGACCACAGTTCGAGTCCTGGACCCCGTGACTTAAACTCACGCTGGGCGCGTGTGTGTGTGTGCCCACGATATTGAGAGGAGAATAGAGGAGAAGGGATTGCTGCGTGGCCATCCCTCTGGGGGGTGATTTCTCACTTTCTGTCTCTCTGTCTCCCTCTTGTCTTTCTGGTGAGTGCACGCGCCCTATGGCAAAAACCTCTCCAAAAAAAAAAAAAACAAAACAACAAAAAAAAACACACGTACTATACATAATTGTATGTGCTATACTTTCGTATTTCTGACAATGCAGTACATTTGTTTACATCAGCATCACCATAGACATGTGAGAAATACATTGTGCTGCAGTATTAAGAAGGCTACAAAGTCACTAGGCATAGGATTTTTTTCAGCTTCATTAAAATCTTTTTTTTTATTATTTAACTTTTCTTATTTGTTTACTTATTTATTTTCATTTGGAGGGACAGTGAGAGAGAGGGAAAGTGAGAAAGCAAGTTGCCAGATCTGGTACTTGAACTGTTGTTGGCCATGTGGGAGTCCAGCACCCTTAATCACCACGCTACCTGCTGGCCTGCTCCATTAAAATCTTACAGGACCGCAATTGTACATGCAGACCATAATTGATGAAAATATGATGCTGCTCATGATTGTATGTTTCTTAAATTTGTATTATGTATTCTTTACTTGGTTAGGGATTAGGTGTATAGTGCTTCCATATTAACATGTCATACATTGTCTTTTTAAAATTTCATTTGTCTTTTTAAAATTTCATTTAATTTCACACATCATTATAATGTTTTAATTTGGCCACAGAGAAACAGAGGAGAGAAGGAAAGTGAGAAAGCAAACCACCATGCCACCTGCCAGCCCCAGCATTGTGTCTTTCTTGATGTTTGTTTTTACTTACATGAAGTTCTTTTAATACTCCTGATATTTTGTGTTAGAAACATGTTTACAACTATTACATTTATAATGTTCATTAATGTCTCCATATATGCTGATGTTTATATTCATATTTTATATTACTGTTATTTGAGGTTAGGTGGGATGGGGCCCGGGTAGGCTCACAGGCCTATTCCAGGCTCTCTCCTGTATCCTACCAGCCCTATTGGGATGATTGTGTGGGTAGAATGTCCTTGACTCCACCTGGGTGCCAACCCATCCTGGCCTATCCTCAGCCCCACAGGAGACAGGATCCGAAGCAAAGTTGAGCTGACCCGATACCTGGGCCCCTCATGTGACCTTACTCTCTTTGACTTCAAACAAGGCATCTTGTGCTATCCATCCCCCAAGGTACTTCATGATGTGGGGTGCTGATGCAGGGGTGGCTGTGTCACCTTACATCTACCCACTGACCTACATTCCTCCACCCTCACTCTCATCTTTAGGCCCCTACCTTGTCTGTCCCCAGCAAGAAAGGAAAGAAGACTTCAAGGCCGGTCAAGGCTCAGAAACATCAGATTGGACCTCAGAAGAGTGAGGTCAGAAAAGAGACCTCAGGAAATGAGACCAGTGCTAATACTGACACAGTCCCAGCTTCATTCCCTGCACCTGGGTGAGTATTGGGCTAAGGAGAGCCAAATGGGTAAGCATGTTTGAGGTGCTCTCAGGGCCCCACACTTGTCTTTTCCATTCCAGGTGCTGTGAGAACTGTGGAATCAGCTTCTCAGGGGATGGTACCCGAAGGCAACGGCTCAAGACATTGTGCAAGGATTGCCGAGGTGAGTGGCCCCTAGGGGATAGGGGCACTGCAAGCAGAGCAAGCTAGACTGCAGTTTGAAGGTGGGTATCAGGACAGGCTTGTGGTAGAGGTTGGGTGTTTGAAGTTTCCATTAGGCACGGGCAGAGGTTGAATGGTGAAAGTCAAGGCACAGGGTGAGGTCAGGTGGTTGTTGCTCACTTTCCACTTCTCTCCTTCCCTCTCCGTCTCCCCAGCACAGAGAATTGCCTTCAACAGAGAACAGCGGATGTTTAAGGTATGCGTGGACTGCTTCCTTCTCATTGTCCTGCAGTGGGAGCAGGATGTGATATGGCTGTTCGAAGGGCCCCACAGCGTGTGCCAGAGTTGTTTTATAGGGAGCTAGCTGTGGATTAGCAGATGCAGTAAGGGGAATTCATTGGGTGTCACTAGACACAGTGATAAAGTTAACAGACCAGTAGATGTGGCAGTAGCCTTAGTGATGACAGCTATTCAGTAATTATCAGATATAATGATGGAAGATTAACAGACATGGTGATAGGGGCTGATATCAGGTCAGCAGACATGGAAGGGGCATTGCTCCTAGATACACCCTTCCTGGGTCTGTGACCTCGCCCCACCCATCCCTGGCAGCGTGTGGGCTGCGGGGAGTGTACAGCCTGCCAGGTAACTGAAGACTGCGGGGCCTGCTCCACCTGCCTCCTGCAGCTGCCCCATGATGTGGCCTCGGGGTTGTTCTGCAAGTGTGAGCAGAGACGCTGCCTCCGGATTGTGGAAAGGGTGAGTCAAGCAGGTGAGGTGGGCCCAAGGCTCATCCTGGTCCTTGGCCCTCTTGGTCCTGGCCCCATATATCATGTGTCCGGAACCCCCACAGAGCCGAGGGTGTGGAGTATGTCGGGGCTGTCAGACCCAAGAGGACTGTGGCCGTTGCCGAGTCTGCCTTCGCCCTCCCCGCCCTGGTCTCAGGCGTCAGTGGAGGTGCGTCCAGCGACGCTGCCTACGGGTGAGTCAGGCTGGAGGGGCCAGTACCAGTGGGACCAGGGCTGGTGCAGAGCTCATTCTGCTATTAAAGATGATGCTGCTGCTACTGCTGCTGCTGCCACCTCCCAACCTGGCCTTGCTCAGCTCATGTCTTCTTTTTTCTCCCACCCCACACCTCACCTCCCTGGCCCAACCTACCTGCCCCCATCTGTCAGCACCTTGCCCGCCGCCTGTGTCGTCGCCATCAGCGATGTCAACGACGCCCTCCCCTGGCTGTGGCTCCCCCCGTTGTGAGTGCTCCAGCCCATATTCTTCCTGCCTATCCCATGCATGCTTTCCATACTCTTGGGTACTCTTGTGTCTGCTTCATACCACAAACCCAAACCACCCTTTTGGCTCTCTCCTAGAGTAAACGTAGCCGCCACAGAGGAGGCTGTGACTCCAAGATGGTTGCCCGGCGACGCTCCCGAGCCCAGCCACTGCCTCCACTTCCCCCAGCAGAGCCCCCAGAACCCACAGAGCTGGTGAGGCCCCAGTGGACAGGGGAAGGCACAACCTGAACCTTATCCAGTACCTGCCCTGACCCCTCCCCATTTGCCTCTGCAGCACCCCAGAGCCCTGGTCCCCTCGCCACCTGCCGAGTTCATCTATTACTGTGTAGACGAGGACGAGCTAGTGAGTGGCCCCACCCTACCGGGATAAGCCTAGACTATTTCAGGGCTCTTGGTTAACCCCCAGGAAGATGTTGTCATGGGTCTAGTAGGGAAACTGCAAGGCACATATGGGTACCAGGGTAGGATAAGCAGATAATAGAGAGAAAACATGTGAAGTCAGCAGGTGCCGTGACAGCACCTAATGGCAGGTGTACCAGGACTCTGGTGGCTGTTGTAGAACCAGCAGACACAATGACGGGTATAATAGAGAAGTAATCAGCAGTGACTGGGGCTCACATAGGATAAGTGGACATAGCAACTAGAGTGACCGGAGCTAATAGAGGTTCAACAAAGTCCTACTGAAGTGGGACTCAAAGCCATTGTCTTCGTAGGTAGTGAGAGACTAGGAGTTACTGTGATAGAACCATCCAGTCCTACTGGTATTGAGGCCCAAGTGGCACAGTGATAGTGGCTAATCTTAAACTAGAAGATGCTAAGGTATGATTAGTGGAGTCAGCAGGCTAAGACGAGAGTGCAGCTAGCCCCTTCGATGGGGCTAGAGGAGCACCAGCAACAGCTCTGGAATAGGCATTGAGGATGGCCTCTCCTAGTCCTAGTGACAGCACCACCCATTCCCCCCATCCCAGCAGCCCTACGCGAACCGCCGGCAGAACCGCAAGTGCGGGGCCTGTGCAGCCTGCCTACGGCGGGGGGGCGGGGGGCGCCGGCGCCTGTGGCGCGGGCCACAC